ATAAGTTTAACTAAACGCGTTTTCTAAATTTTTCAATGAAAAATGAAAACGGAAAACGAAAATCGAAAATCGAAAAGGGAAAACAAAAAACGGAAAATGAAAATTGTTTTTCCGTAACTAAACGCAACCTTATATTTTGTGTTTTTCCGGATTAAACCTCAACTTTTTTTGTCTGAAAAAGACCTTGAATTTTTTTATTTTTTCCAATCTGGCCTTTTTAGTCATTCTTTTACCAAAAAAAAAATGAAAATCTCTGATAAATTCCCAATATTTTGGATCAGTTTACGGTTTAATCCCAACGTTTAATTTTTGAACAGAAAAGTCCCAATATCTGGTTTTATACGATAATCTGTCATTTTCTGTTGAAAAAAAATGACTAATTCATTAATTTGGGCAAAATATAAAATAATCGGGACTTTTCTGTTCAAAAAGTAAAAGCTGAGATTAAACCGTAAACTTACGCAAAATATTGGGATTTTATCGGAGTTTCCCCCCAAAAAAATTTGTAAAATGTGAGGGTTTTTTTGAGAAAAACTAAAAAGGTTGAGGGCTTTTTGGAAAAAAATGAATACAAGGTATTTTTTTGGTAAAAAAATAAATTTAAGGTTTAATCTAGAAAAAACACAAAATATAAAGTTTTTTTTGAGATTAACCCAAAAAGAAAGTACATATATACATTTTCTTTTTACAAACAAATGAAAGTAAGACGCTATAACTATAATAGACAAAAAAAAATACATGAAAGTACATTGCTATTTCTTATATTCATTTCAATAATTTACATTTGTAATTGTATTTTCAGCATGGTGATTCAGATAGAGGTCGAATATCGCGAACGGGCAGCACATCAAAACGGGCAGTCGTGTCGGGCAGCAGGCCGAGTTCATCGGGCGAGCCAAGTGGTGACAACCGGTCAAACCGGTTAGGTTCGGGCAGCGGGCGGATATCAACTGCCCAACGGCTCCACTCACAGCCCGGGTTCGAGTCCAAGTCATCATCTTTCACACGGGCAGTGCCATCATCCAGAAGTGGTCGTGATGATGCTTTGAGAAGCTTTGAATTGTTGACTATTGGGAAGAGGAAATAAGAAGACAAGTATGTGGGACCCATTTCAATCAATGTATGAATGAATGACTTTTTTTTTTTTATAAAATCGAGTTACAGAAAAAAATGTAAAAGATTTGTGTTGTTGATGTTGTTGTAGCCTTGAAGAAAAGAGGGATTGCATTCTCATTTTAGGGTGGATGTTCATATGTTGTTGAGTACTTCATCGAGGAATGTTATTTAAATTGAATTTGGCTTCTTGTTTTCTTGTGGTATTTGCTTGTTAATGTTCATATTTGTTGTTCATTGTTTTGGTACACCTGGTTATATTTTAGTGTAAAGTTGCAAATGAGTAATGAACTATTTATTTATTATTATTATTATCAATTTTACGAGTTACTATTAATTCAAAAAGATACAATAAAGAGGTAATGAAATATTTGTGTTTGTAAATTAAATACCAACAAAAATTATTGAAGTAATGGTATATTGTAAATACGTAGTTATACTTGCTTAACTTCTAGTAACATTTTTTTTGAAGTAAATGGTGTTTTGTGAAAAATAAAATAGTTAGTTATTTATATTTATGATATTAACCCTTATATTTTATACAGACTGATGTGATCGTTTTGGATGATGAGTATAAATCCAGCGAAACAAACTTTAAAAACCTGATACGAAACTTTGGATCCATGCAGTAACCTGGAAACCACTAAAGGCTAGGCATGTTACCTAAAAGTAGAAGCAGGTGAGAATCGAACTGAATACTATTAAGAAAACCTATTTTTTTGGTTAATTGTGTTTTGTTACAAGGGGATACAAACCACATGAGAAGTTTGAACCATTTTATACATTTAATTATCTGAATTATTATTCCTTTTATCGATTACACCAATAAACTAGTGCTATAAAAATTAAATTCAAGCAGTAAAATAGTAAATGCATGTTTTGTTTTGTTTTTGTTTTTTTTTTGGTATTTTATCGTTTTTCAAAACCTATGTTAGATAAAAAAAAATTGGTTTCTCTAAATGTGATTGAAATTAACTAAACTAACTATATGCTTAAGCTCTATTTTAAGAAAATAGCAAAAAAAATATTACTTTAATTTGCAAAGTAACCACCTAGTCCAGAACGCACCATTCCAGGTCCGTTTTTTTTCGGATAAGCAACATAATAAACCCGATCCGTTATTGTGGCCCTTATATATAGCGTTTCAGAGAATGAATTCACAATTGCATTTCGAACTTGAGGGGCTCTTCATTTCGAACATTCCCGGTAGTTTGGAATTGCAGTTTTATGAAGAAAATCACATCAAAGCCTTCTGATGGTGAAGAACCCAAAGTTTTGTGGGTATTTTTCGTTATTTTAAGCATATTATTTTGTTTGTAGATGATTATTATTCCAGAATGTTGTTTGTTAGTACCTTTATGGATGAAAATTTTCGTTTGAATTAGATATTGGTTGTATTTAGGCTTTTGTGTGAGTAATATGTGTATTAGGAACAATAAGTGTAACGTCCCACAAATTACTAAGAGCATTTCAATTCATAAAATAGATTAACCAATTAAAACCCTTGTTTCAAAAACCATTGAGTGACATTAATTTGATTAAAATTTAAAACCATACATTATCAAAGTCAAATTAAAAACCGTGGAAATGAATATCATCGATGCGTGTGTACAGTCCTGCCGAGCTATTCCCACGAAACAACCTGCAAAAGATTTAATCTACAACTGTAAGCATTAAGCTTAGCGAGTTCCCCAGTATACCACATATTCCATCATATATACAATGCATCCACACAAAGTGTTCGACTTTAGCGCCGACCTGCCAAATCTCATATCAACATAAACATATGTATCAATCATATACAAAATATTGGGTCTCCTCCAGCCTCGAGTGACTGCTATGGACCGAATCATGGTCTTTCCTTGCAATGTTGAGGGCCAAATCCCGGTCTTACCTACAACTGCCAGGGGCCAGATCCTGGTCTTCCATACAATTGCCAGGGGCCAGAACCTGGTATTCCATACAATTGTCAGGTGCCAGATCATGGTCTTCCATACAATTCATAGAGTCATATGTAGTCATGGATCAGATAGACAGTCGAACAGATGATCCACCCTTGAGTGAACAATCAGACAAGAACATCACAATAAGGCATTAGACCAAGATTTCCCAGGCTATTCAACTTAAACTACATACAACCAATGTTATCATTACCACATAATCATATAATATAACACGTAACATACACTAGCATATCATACACCCTTGGCAACTAGCATTCCCTAGTTACCTTGCCATTGACCACTTCTTAATTAAGTCCTTCACTGGTCAATCAGACACAATCCTGATAATTGGCCTTCCCCAGTTACACTAACCAAACATAACTCCTAACAATAACATGCGATTAATAGACAAGACCCTACCGGTCTAACATGTCACACCCCCAAACCAAGGATGGCGGAAACGTCCGGGGGTGGAGGACTTCATGTATAGTATCATA